AAAAAGAATAAACAATATACATATATTGTAAATAAATAAATAAAATAAAATAAAATAAAATATGTAAAAAATAAATAAAATGAAAATAAAGTAAAAACAAATAAATTATATATATAATACAGCATGATACAGTGATTATTTAGGGTCCAGCTACCGTAAACACAGTTGGAGATCCTCTAATTGTTGCTGCCCTAAACGCCAGACAGCGCGACGGGTATAGTAAGTAAGAAAGATACAGAAGGTCATTTTTACCATCATCTATCAAAATGCTTCCATCTTAACCATCTTGTTTAATGTACTTACGACCTTAGAGCATGCATCAAAATAACATTGAGTGTGAATCTAGCTTACGATTATTATTGTTTATATTGCTGCTCATTTATATTATGCATGTGATTGTAAGCCTACTTGTGTGTGCATGTGTGTACGTGTGTGTGTTTGTGTGTGTGTGTGTGTGTGTGTGTGTGTGTGTGTGTGTGTGTGTGTGTGTGCGTGTGTGTGCGTGTGTGTGTGTGTGTACTCGTGGTGGAACACCAAACCAATGTGCCAGGATCTGGACAATAAAGATGTATCTTATCTTATCTTATCTTATCTTATAAGTACCTTAAACAACTTGAATAGCAAACGTTTGTCGAGCCACTAATTTATTTAACATTTCTTAAATCCTTTCCAGCTATTTGATGAACGTATTCAGAGTAAATGAACTGTGCCCAGTATTTGTACTCCAATGGCACAGACTTAAATAACGGATCCCAACATTGTTTTTGTTTTGTGGATTTAAAAGAATGGGAAACTTCAAACAAACGTACCTCAAAGTACAGCTTCTGAAACACTGCAAAGAAAGAAACTCTTTTCAAAATATTCTTGCGTTCTCGCACAATGCTTGCTCGAGCAATAAGAAAATATAAGTATTGTGTTCACAGAAGTTGCGGCGGGAGAATGACGACAGTGCGCGCAACAACGGTCGTTCCGATTGCGATAGACGCAATAATAACTATTCTGGCGCAACCACAGAATTCTACACTTAAGTGTAGAATTTTGTGGGCGCAACCGAGCCTAGGATGGTCGAGTTGTGCACTTATCAACTCGGCTGTTAGCCTGCACGACTATGAACTGCACGATAACAACGGTCGAGATATTGATACTGTCGATTATGATAACGCTAGCGATAAACTAACTAGAAAAAGTAGAAAATACAACAAAGCTCGAAATGTAAGGTTTGCAAATTGCAATTCACACCGACGCGCACTACAAGACAATTTCTAGTATTGTAGTCTTTACTGGAATATGTGCACAAGCCGAATCACTTTCTGTGCAGCCTGGTATAACGTAGACCGGGACAAATATTTTGCAGGCCTGCCATTGCGGTCCCATCCAGCTATTCAGGACTCAAGTGGCTGAGTAGTGAGTTTAGACCTAGGCATTCTCAGCTACACCCCCGAAGTCAAAATTCGGCTCAAAATTATAGAATTTGAGTTGTAGGCATTTTTAGCTTCCCCAGCCTCTCCTACAACTATTTCATCGCATAAGAACCCATCAAAACCGTATTTTGTCCCATACCGGGCAAGTTTGTCACCGCCATTTCCTCATAAAGTCAGTATTTTATTTTTCCTTATCGGCCGTTTTCTCAAAACGCGACTTTTCTTTGTACTTTTTAAAATAACTCCACCATTTTTCATCCAATCTTCATGACATTTTCACAGAATGAAGACAAGATGTAATATCAAAAGTTTGTCTGTTGAATTTTTTATATATGGAATAGATTTTTTTGGTGGTGTCTGGAGTGTGGATTTTAGCGGATTTTTTGCAAACTTGAATGCTACCTTGGGAAAAAATTCATTAAAAAACTTTCTTATTCGTTTAGGAAAAAAACAACAGAAATCTTTTTAGATCTAATGTTTGTGAACATGCATGCAAAAAATCAATCAATTTTCATAAACAATAAGTGCGGTATTCATTACGTAAGACATGTCAACAAAATCCAATATGGCCGCCGTGTCCCAGGAAACGAAACTTTTTTCTCAAATTCGTTTGCGGATTTTAAGACTCCTTAATATGCTTGTTATATGTGTGAAGTTTGGTAAAATTGGTTCTGTAATAAGCGAGATAGCCTTCAGATGTAGCCCCCCCCCCACCCCTTTAATAAACGCCTATAAAAAAAATCCAATTCGATGGTTTCTACATCTTTAAAACTTAATTACAGCTCGGGCAATATTATATCGCTTTTAAAAGCAAGCCTGTCATTGTTTTCTAATCGCGACTTTATGCTTATTGAACGCGTGTTTTGAGAACTTTTAGTGCTAAAAATATGTTCACTATAAAACTATTTTCTTGTAACAAGTTTTGCCAGTAAAAAGTGTCATTAACGAGTTGTGACCATAGAGTTACATCTATGGTTGTGACATATATGCCATTGTATACACAGTGTATGCAAGAAGCAGAGATTCGAGTGCTGTGAACAATCCCAATTTTCCGCGTGACGGAGATTTATCGTTATTTATATAAATTTATGAACTAAAGTGTTTTACTCTAGCCTCAATTGTTGTGATAAATATGATTAAATTAAGATAAATTGATAGAAACTGCTGTGCAAAGTATGAGTAACGGTGATTCACCCGTTTAAGAGATATAAGATACGTTGCGCCACACATTTTTGACCGCGCTATAGCTAACGATAGTAAAGCCACTTTGTACAACATTTCCTAAATTCTTTCCAGTTATTTGGACGTATTCAGATTATATGAAGTGTGCCCTTGATTCTTATTTGTACTCCGATGGCACAGATTTAATTAATGGATTCCAACATTATTTTTGTTTTGCTGATTTAAAAAGGTAAAACACAAACAACATACCTGAAAATACTGCTTCTGCAACCCTGCAAAGAAAGAAACTCCTTTCAATATTCTTACTTTCTAGTACAATGCTTACTCGAGCAATAGATCTAACAATGATGTTTTGAGAAGTCGAGCGAATGCGCACAACGCCCGTTCCGATTGCGACACGATATTCTTGCGCAACGAAGAACTCTCCCTATTCTAAAATTAACTTTCCCATCTACGATGTTTCCAACATACGGGCACTTTGCACTGTCGCCATAAACGGGACAGTGGGAGATGAACGATTCTTTTGGGAATCGAATATTTATCTGCATACTCGAATACCATGGAATGTTGAAGTATCTGCTTTTTTTCCAGACTCATGGATCAGAAGTCGAGAGACTTATTTTTGTAAGTCAAAGATGATTATCTTGTTTCGATAGTAATTCTTACCTGTGCACATTTGACTTGAATATTTCTCAAATGGTCATTAGTGTACATTTTTACAACTACTTTTTCAGGGTGTTTGTTTCCCAAGCAACGGGGGACAAAAAGAATGACAATGACATTCACAATAACAATATAATTTATTCGTCTCGCCGGGAGAAATTTGTCTTAGTCGTTAACAATGGCAGTAGACGTTACAAAGGTTAGATGCTCTCACGTCTACGCTCGACAAAACATTAGTAAATACATGTCTCACATGCTGGGACAACCCGCTCCGCAAAAAATTTTCTATCGACTATATCTATCTCTCATTCTTTCGCTCTCTCTCTCTCTCTCTCTCTCTCTCTCTCTCTCTCTCTCTCTCTCTCTCTCTCTCTCTGTGTTTCAATGGCAGCACTATGTGTTCAGTAACCTCTACTGTAGTTGGTACGAATGGATTTCTATATCTGTCTTTTCTTGCTTTTTTGGAAATGTATCGTTTACTGCGGGTCAATGGTTGAAATTCCAATGTCAGTGGATGGCTATATTGCATCTATCAAGATATAATTAGTCCCATAAGCACGATGAATGTTTTGCAAAGTCAAGAGGAGGTCAGGCATTTCAGTGAAGAGCAAAATATGCACCAATTAAAAAACCCAAACAAACGCCAATTGCAGACCAAGAAGACAAACACTTTTTAAAATTGTCAAAATCTACTAATTGTAGGCCTATTTATTGAACTCTCTTAGATTTTTTTTAGTCTTACGAATAATAGGTCCTAAAGTAACGTTAATGGTAATCATACAATTGCTTTTAAAAAATGAAAAACATTTGTTCTGAGGAAAAACAGGCGAAAACGACAATTTAATATTGAAATTTATCGCAGAATCCCTTGCTGTAACAGACCTAAATAATTTAGTTTTAGTGTTCATTGACACCATGTCATAACCTGTATTTCAAAAGAATTTTTTAAATAAACCACTTTATTTTGGAAATTGCGGGTTTCTTTGCTCTACATATTCTTGATTTTCTATTTTGATAAACACAAAATCAAACTATAAATTGCTTTTCAAGAAAATCAGAATCGTTGTTTTTGCAAAAATTTGAGCCACGCTTTTGTATAGTCGTATTCGATATTTATAAGACAGAGCAAGTATTTCCACACCCCCCTCGATCTTCAAAATTGGACTATTCAATAATCGATGTTCGCCCTTCCGCTGCACTGCACAGCAGAAGGAGTTCATATTGACTTGTAATGCAGGATGTTTTGGGTTCGAGAAGCTGAGGAGAGCTAAACTTCTGCACAAGTGTTCAGTTGAGCTTGAGTTTCATAGAAGATGGCATCAGATGATATGATATATGGCATACCAGATTCTGTAAGATCACATAGATCTAGCGTCGTTATAATAGTTTGCATGATGTCTTCACAGACAATCCTCATCAATTCAATAATATTATCCATGATCACGTTTTGTTATATCACTTATTTACTTAGTCATGATACATCCAGTAGATTTAGAGACGAGGTGTGTCACCTGAGTTTTAGAAGCAAAAATTGTCAGTGTCATCTGGACTTTTGTCAAGTATTTCTGCAAGCGAGTGATGCAAACAGAATTGTGCTCAGACCAGAGACAAGTCACAAGGCAACAACAAAGGAAACACATAATATGAAGCTACAGCGAGCACCTGGCACACCTCTGTGATTGACCGAAATAGGCCTATACTATAGATGATGTATTTCCACCATCTCTTTTTGTCGTCTTCCGGGGCTTCCCTCATGCTTTCCTCGCCAGTTGACTAACTAGATCTAGATTCTAGATCTCACCGTAATACTAATGGACACCCCATTTTAACGCGCGATGGGATACACGTCACTAGACTAGACTAACTAGATCTAGGCTTCATCGCCGACTGCTTGGGCTGTATGTGTGTGTGTGTGTGTGTGGGAAGGACTTCCATAACTAGTGACCACCTCAACAAACACAATAAAGAAGAGACCAAGATCTAACCCTAACCATGACCCAACCACTACCCTTACAAGTACCCCCACCCTCACCCCTACCCTTTCCTTCTACCCCTTCCCTCACCCCTACCCTTACCCCAAACCCTCACCCTAGCCCTCTATTCTACTCTGTTTCATAGTGGTCGCTTGTTACGGAAGTCCTACCTGTGTGTGTGTATAACTTTGAAGAGACGGTAAATTTATGGAACGAGAATTGCTGAGATTGTTTATAATAAAAGATAATACACAAATTAGTGCAAAAACAAAAAAACTCTGCGAGATATGGTCAACAGTTACTGGCGAAGGAAACCCAAGTCTTGGGGGAAACCCCGGAAGACGTCAAAAATAGGTGGCGGAAATACGTCATCTATATTTGGGCCAATCACAGAGGTCTGCTAGGTGCTCGCTATAGCTTTGTGGGCATTGTTTCCCTCGCCAATAACTGTTGACTGGATCTCGCTGTATTTGTTTTTGTATTATTTGTGTTATCTTTTATAAATTATAATCTCAGCAATTTTCATTCCATAAATTTATCTTCTCCTTAAAGTTGTACACACACACACAAACGCATGCGCACAAACACACGCAAGCACTCGCACACACTGACACATGCGCGCCACACTCACACACGCAGCCCAAGCAGTCGGCGATGGAACTTAGTGACGTAGCCCATCGCACGCTGAGCGGCAAAGCGGGCCCGCCATGGTGAGATCTAGTCAACTGGCGAGGGAAGCCCTGGAAGATAACAAAAATAGATGACGGAAATACGTTCATATATTTAGGCCAATCACAGAGAGGTTTGCTAGGTGCTCGCTTTAGCTTCATGTAAAGGAATCTACTTCTACACTACACTACTGTGGCTAAGTGCTAATTCATTGCTAAACTTCTACTTTTTCAAACCACTCTACTTTAGACTTCTCTAAACATCTAAGTTAGACCCCATTATAAAAAAAAAATATTAATCAAATTCTTTATATGAATGAAATTTGCTTAATAAAAATAAATGGTCGCTTTAAAGTACAAATGGGCTATCCCGCAATAAAATGCTGTTTTGAGAAAATCGAAGGTAAAGTTTTTGCCCCTTGTTCTGTTTCTTTAAACGACGAGAAGAGTGTTCTCTATAACGAAACAAATACACACGACCAATGAAACCAAACTTCTCCAATAGAGATAGGGCAATGTCCACTTTTGGTGTAGGTCAAGATTTGTGGAAACCCCCGAAATCTGGGTTAGCCCGCTTGTCCTTAAAAGCGCTTGATTTATTCCAACCTCCCCATTTACCACTGCCATTGGCTGGCTGGTATGGTACTTCTACTTCCACCTTTCACTAAAATCCACCATAAACTGACCCTGTCTCAGTGTCTTCAGTGTCTCCATACTGGTAAACATTTGGAAAGCACAGTTCTCTGGTCCCGCTCCTCACCAACCTGGGTATTTGAATGAACTGCTGGTATACCTGTCTACGAAGAAATTCGAACGTGCAACCCGAAAGTTGCGCGCATGCAACTTTTGCCATTTTCGTGAATTTGCGAATTTTAGGCAATTTTCTGCAAAAGTTGGAAAAATAATAATTTAATTTCGGTAAAAATAACCGAAATTTTCCTCCACAACTAAAAATAACGACGCGAAGGGGGACAATTTGTACCTGAAATTAGATCTACCTGATAGTGTAGAATTGTGTGATCTACCCATAGAGTTACCCCCTTTTGAATGGATCTGCCACACTTCCTTTGCACTAGATCTGCGGGTTGTGCCCAGTGCCCGTTGCGGATGAGATCGGGTCGGGATGATCGCCCGACTCGATGCCTGAAAACAACGCGTTCGTTTTTGAGGCAACAAGTCGGGCGCGATCGATTTGTATCACGATAGCCATTTTGCGCCATAATCACTCTGTCGAGCACACCGACCCGTCGCGACCTCCCCAATAGTCCTGTTTGGACTGAATCATCTTCTACTTCTTCTAGATCTAGCTAAATCTAGACTCTAGATCTAGATCTAGATATCTATAATAGAAGAGTAAACTCAATCATAAACATGATCGTCTGATTACTTAGCTTGCTTGGTTCCGTAGCACCAGGTAGATTGATCTAGTATAAAAATTTGTGAAAGACTTTAAAATCTTAGGCTAGGAGGGTAGATCTAGGCGTGGATAGATTCATCCAGAAAACCCATTAAGGGGTCGTTCAAATAATAATATAATCTTAAGCCTGGAAAAGGCCTAAAAAGGGAGGGGGGGGGTGGTGTCTTGACTCCTGT